CTTATAAATGTCTAGGTTGGGCTTAGTTAGGAAATGTCCAGATAGACTTGGAAATATCTTCCATAATATGTATATTCTGCCTCCTAACTATTGCATCTTCTCTGCTGCTATGCCAATCTATTTCTTTCGGCTGTCTTTAGCAACGGAGGGAGGGGGGAACTTGGAGGGGAAGAAAGCTGGAGGGGTTTTGCATTCCTTTGCTGTGGTTAGCAAGGGGAGGGGGATTCCTTCCTTTAACTTTCCATTTCTTGGCTAGCTTCTGTCCCCTTTTGCGCAACTGCGAACTTTTATCAAAATAGGTCAAGGTCAATGGACAGAAGCCTCATCACCACCTGGAGATGGCCACATGATCATATTCAGAACTTTTAATTGGAAGGGTATTTTGGACGTTGGGGGGTGGGAGCATTTCCATTCCTTTGTATATGTGATCTGCCCGCCAATTTCTCAGATTCGGAATTAAATCTGTAGCTTTCACTTTATTTTCCAGTAAAAGGATAACTTTGCTCTACCCATGGAGTCTGAGTATTTCTTTCTTGGGATTTGAAGGGAGCACAGACTGACATACACAATGACATCTGAAAAATTGCCATGAAAACAACCAGGAGAAGAAATTGTGAAGTTGTGGTGTTGAACTCCACCCAATTAAGACTTTATCGCATGCTTTGCTTTAAACCTGGCACTAAAATCAGTATTTTAATAGCATTTCCATTTAAAGCTTTTTAAAAAGACTCAGGTGGATTGATCAAAGCTTTACACTTCCGTCTCTCAAACCAGTCACCTTCTTGTAATTCCCTTCTACCCTAATTATATTTTGACAAATATTTGATTCAGTTCAAACCCCAAGATATTTTAAAGAGAGGTTTGCAAAAATGTTTGAGTCCAGACTGTTGGTCTGATCTTATTGGTGCACCACATCTGGAGTATTGAATCCTGTTTTGGTCACCACGTTACAAAAAAGATGTTAAGACTTTGGAAAAAGTGCAACTGAGAAGAGCAACTGAGGTGATTAAAGGCCTGGAGACTAAAACATACGAAGAACAGTTGCAGGATCTGGGTTTGGCTAGTCTAGAGAAAAGAAGGGGAGATATGATTGCAGCATTCCAGTATTTGAGGGGCTGCAAAGAGGAGGGGGTCAATTTATTTTCCAAAGCACCAGAAAGCAGGATAAGAAACAATGGATGGAAACTAATAAAGGAGAGAAGCCACCTGAAACTAAGGAGAAACTTCGTAACAGTGAGGATAATTAACCAGTGGAACAGCTTGCCTTGTTCCATCACTGGAGGTTTTTAAGAAGAGATTGGATCCTGCAATAATATCTTGGGAGACGTATATTCGCCTTCATACGTAATTGTCTGAAATGGTATAGGATCTCCTGCTTGAGTGGGGCAGGGTTGGACTAGAAGACCTCCGAGGTCCCTTCCAGCTCTATTCTGATTCTGAAACTTTGGAAAGAAAAAGCAGCTATGTTCCGAGCTTAAAATGGGATCCTCCTCATAGGTCCTTTCTAACTTGGGTGGGGGAAAATGCATATGCAAACTATTTCAATTAAAACACGTATTCTAATTGCAACCTATTCACCACTGTGCTTACATAGCGGGGGGATATAAACAATTGGGTGGGTTGTGAGCTGGGTGTTCGTACTGATATTCACCATTGAACGTTTATTTTTATTTTATTTTCCATCCTACAGAATGGGACGAGAGAGAACGTCGGCACAGGTACGAATACCTTGATTATTATGATTAGCATGTGGAAGAGTTGCCGGCAGAGAGGAACACACATCTGTTGAATCAACCAATTTATCTGCAAGCCTAGAATTATTTGCCGTTCTCTAATGCGCCTGCGTCAATTAATCTTTTCATATTATCCGTGATTTTGCTTATCATTGCCTCTTGCTTTCTAACACAAATATGTAGAAAACCCTGAACATTGATCAAGTCTTACCTTCAGGCAGGGCCAACTCTTTGAGAGGTGTGTGTTTGTGTGCATGTGTGTACCTACCTACTTACCTGCCAGCATGCAGATTAGGGCTGTGTGATACTACGGATTCAGTTGCCAAAAAATGCTTTCCCCTGGAAGGAGCACAAAATGCACCATCTATCGACAGCTCTTGAAAGCAACTGCCCTTTTTCCTTACTGGATAAAGAAGTGGCTGCTTTTAAAAGTTACAAGTACATCATGCTCCCACATGGTACCTTTCCCAAATTGTTTCTAAAGCTCTTCAGATTGCCAATGTGCATGTTTCCATTGACCAAACATCTGTTAAGCACAAGGCCAAAATAATCATTAGCGCTTCGATAAGGATGCTTGAAAAGCAATTATTTCCTGACCTATCTCCAATGATCTTAGAACATAGCTAAAAAATATTATTAGCCTGTAACAATTTACCTGTTTATGAAATGTATTTTAGCTTCTGGCATTTTCTTTCTCCTTTTAACGATTGTCAATATTGAAAAATATCAACATTTTGAAAAACCCTAATGCTTGTGTAGTTTTGCAGCTGATGTTGTGTGGCCAAAGAAAATTAAAATGGTAGTTTAAAACATCTCTTGATTCAAGTTGTTTTGCTTTATGTAATGAAATGAGGATGTGGGCTCCAAAACTTTTCCTTCTTTCCCGTCTTTCTCCTTTCCTTTCCCTCCATTCCCCTTTCTCCTTTCCCTTCCTTTTTCCTTTCTTTTCCCTTATTTAATTCCTTTTCCTTCTTTTTCTTTCCTTTCCCTCCCTTTCCTTTCCCTCCGTTCCTTTTCTCTTCCTTATTTCCTTCCCTTCCCTTCCTTTCCTTTCCTTCCATTCCCTCTTTATTTCTTTCCCTTTCCCTTATTTTCCCCTTCCCTTCCCTTTCTCCTTTCCTTTTCCTAATACCTTCCCTTCCCTCTTTCTCCTATCGTTTCCCTCCATTCCCTTCCCTTCCTCCTTTCCTTTCCCTTCCTTATTTCCTTTCCTCTCATTTCCTCCCCTCCTTTCATAGATAGGACTCACAACATGCCTTTTCTGCTGGGTCTTCTGGGATGAGATGATGTGATTTGGAATGTAGCAGCTCCTCAATATCTTGTCCCCCATGCCTTGAAGGACCAAGATCTTCCTTGTCACAACTACCCCTTGCTCCTTGAGCAGGACTCATGAGTCTTGAAGGTCCCCAGGTTGCACACTGGATCTGGGGCAGTGCCACCCAGTTCAAAACTAAAGACGGTAAATTCCCAGGTCCTGGTGGCTCCAACGCCCAAAGTTTCTCAACCTTGTTAGAAATGAGTCCTTGTTTCCTGCCTGAAGCCCCACTGCCTCCAAGAAATGGGACAGGATGTCAAGAGCATCCATCTCTTCACTACAGGAGAGATACAAAGCTGGGTATCTTCAGGATGCTGTTGACACCTCATCTCTTGGCTGTAGACCAACCTATGGCCTTACCCAACGGTTTCATCTAGATGTTACAGAGGAACAGGGAAAGCATCAAACTCCGTGGCACCCCCGGGGTTGGGCTGATGTCTTGGTCCCTGGAACTGTGAAGAAGCAGCACTAACACAACACACCGCCACCCTTGCGCCAGCCCAGAAGAACATCATGGTTGATGGTACCAAAGCTCACCATGAGATTAGGTTGAGCAAATCTGTTTAATGGTTTTTCTTTGTGGAAATCAGGAGCTCTCCTTAAAACAACCCTGGAAGTCCCAAAATATATTTCTAAAGATCGATAGCTACAAGAAACGAACTGGGCAAAATATGGGTGGTATGGATAAACGATCCAGTCTTTCAAACTTTTATGCATTTATAGTTATGTTGCAACGTTTTCTAAGAGAACAGGTTAAAAAATGTAATCACTGCAACCCATTTCAACATTCCAGTAGACATTCGCTAAGATCAACTGATCGATTTTATTTATCGGAAGTGAAGGGAACGAATTAATCGGTGAAACACAAATGGGAAAAAAAAAAGACACACAACCAACGCAGTATTCAAATGATCAACGTAAATTATGCCACAATGGAGTTAGTCTCAATATATACAAAGCACTAGCAAAGTTGCAGCACCATTTCCTACACATCAACTCTTCTTAGTTTGGAAGAGCTCACAATTTCCTGACACACTTTGTAAGAAACATTCAGGTTGAAAAAGCAAAGAAAACATCTTCAGCTGTTGTAATCAAAGCCTTGCCCATATTTTTAGAGGTGACATTTTGACTTTTTTGCCCCTCCGAGGGTGTCTCTGGAAACATTATTTCCAGGAAAATTCCCTCCTGCTTGCCCTCCATAACTGCATGCATCCCTTCGGGGTTTGAAGTTTCCATTTTGTAAACTTGCTTAAAAAATACAACGTTCAGCTGCCGTTTTTTAGCACGGCTGATAGTGGCAGTGGACGCTGGGAGTTGTAGTGAGCAGCTTCCCAAAAGTCATCAGCAGACAGACGTTAAATGACTGGATTAAGACACAGTTTTAAAAAGTGAAGCTCGTAAAACGCAAGCTACCTTGGTTCTTTATTAAAATCACAAGGGTCTTCCTTCTTTCAACCGCTTGGGTACATCTATCAATATTGCTGAGGTAAAATCCAACACTCACACATGGATTTTCAAAACATCCTATTTCAAGGAATGATGAATCCTTAGCCCTTAGGTCTGTCCTACCTTGACAACTTTAAGACCAGTGGACTTCAACTCCCAGAATTCCCCAGCCAGCCATGAATCCTGGGCAGGAAAGTCTACCAGTCTTAAAACTTCCCAGGTTAGACACTTTTTGCTTTAGGCCAAAGACCCACCTTGGAAGAAACATTTCTTCAGATGCAACTGAACCTCATAAAAACAGAGTTCAATATTTTTTCAGCCTCATCCCGAACTGCCAAAATCTCAAAAGAAGTTCCTCAAAGAAACTTTGGACTTCAAGGGTTCCATTCTGAAGACGCCATTAACTATCCAAGAAGACATTTCTTCCCAAATCCAACGAAGGGCAAGGATGAGGCCCATCCCTTCCAAATTTCAAAGAAACAGAAAAAAAGTCATTCGGATCAGACTGTGGTTCATATGTGGAGATACTTCACAGGAAGGGAGCACTCTGGAAGTTTTCCAGAGGCGAAATTCATTAGACCAAAGCCAGGATCCCATCAGCCATTATTTCATGCTGTTGAGAAATTGGGCGTGTTCTTCACCTCTTGGAAGAAGAGTTTCTGCCCCGATTTTGGGGCCTTTCTTCTCCTAGAAAAAAGAAATGTCCCGTTAGCTGTGATTGCTACCCATCAAAATCAGCTTCAACCCATTAGCCCATAATTAACTGCAGATACAGTGATGGGTCACACAGGTCTTCTCAGGACAAGCTAGCTTCTCACCAATAAGCCCACCCAAATGCAATTCCAGCTCCAAATATTTTTCATCAATTCTCTCTGAAGTTTCTTCCTTCAGGCCATAAACTTCAGACTTTAATGTCTAGATTTTTTCTGAGGGCATCAAATAATTTTCAAAGCTAAGGTTTCTTATACAAGAGATTATTTGTAGCTTGCGGATGAACTGTGGGGTCCTTGATGCTCTCTAAACTTAGCTATTTTCTTGCAGAAGTTTCATGACCCAATTAGGTAACATCATCAGTGCCAGAAGGAGTAAGGTTTGCAGAGAGGAGGAGGAGGACTGTGTGGTCCTGGGAGCTCTCTAAGCTTGGTGGTTCTTTTGCAGATGTTTCATGACCCAACTAGGGAACATTATCAGTGCTAGAAGGAAGGAGGACTGTGGGTTCCTTGGTACTCTCTGAGCTTGGTGGTTTTCTTGCAGACATTTCATTACCTAACTACATCATCAGTGCTGGAAAGGACCAAACCCCATCTGCTCTAGCACTGACAATATTATCTAGTTCGGTCATGAAATGTCTGCAAGAAAACCAAGCTCAGAGAGAGCATCAAGGACCCCACACAGGGCTTCCTTTCTAATCTGATTTTGGTAGCAAACCTTTGGCCGAGTCTTACCTTCAGCATTCCATCACGTTCCCATTTATAGAGGCCACAGTTACTGAAACAGGAAGAAGGCAGAAAAAAAGAAAATCAAGATTCACTTAGTGTCTTAATACAATTTCCCCAAAATTACGACCTACCCCGAAAGTAAGTCCTAGTTTGATTTTTACACGTGTGCCCAATATAAGCCCTACCCCCCAAATAAGCCCTAATTAAGATCCCCCTCAACTCCAGAGTAGATGAGTAAAAATTAAGCTAGGGTGGGGATGAGGGGTGGAGCTGCCCTACTACTTACTTTTGGACAGTTGTAGCCAGGCCTCACACACCCCGACACCTGCCTGGCCGGCCCATTTCTTCTGTAGCCAGACAAGCCGGCAAGGCTTTCCTCAAGGCCTCCGTAGCTGATAACAAAGCTCAGGATTGATCCAGAGCTCCATTACTGGCTGCAGAGGCCTTCAGGAAAGCCTTACTCCCCACAGAAGTAGTTCCTGGAAACATCTGACAGAGAAAGGGAGGCGGGGGGGGGGGGGGGGGGTGATGCACGCAAGCAAGCTTAGTCAATGGATGACATCCCCCCAAAATAAGACCTGGTGCCTTTTTTGGTGGCAAAAAAAATATAAGACAGGGTCTTATTTTCGGGGAAACACGGTAAATCATAGTAGGACAAAGCCAAGATCATTCATAGAAAGCCTGGTGCTGAAAATGATGATTTTGTTTTCCCCCATCGTGCTTTGTTTAAGAGACTGGATAAGGGCCACCCCAAACTTCCGTCAAAGGATAACCTCTTCCCTGATGGAAAACATTCCATCAAGAATAAGCTTATTTTGCAAAGGTTGCCAACAATAAGGAAGACAAACACACACACACCCCAAACTTCACGTACCTGCAGTGTTTTTTGGGGAGCTTGTCCAGGGAAATGGCTCTGTTCCCACAGGCACACTTGAAAAATCTTTTCACCCCGTTGTGCCAGTGGTAAGCGTGACCTTCCGCCACACACGAGTCCAGCAGTTTGAAGTAGGTGTAGTTGCACTTCACGGGTGAAAAGAGAAAAAGAGAGACACAGTTTGGAATATATGTATGTATGTATGTATGTATGTATGTATGTATGTATGTATGTATGTGTGTATATATATATATACATACATACACACACACACACACACACACACATACATATATGTATATATCTTTGTATCTTTATGTGCACGTGATAACTGTGGCGAGATTATTGTATGTACAAAGATGGAAGAATAATGAAACACCTACCATAGAGGACTGGATTAGAAAATTTGTTGGAGTTGCAGAAACAGCAAAGCTAACCGGTTTGGTCAAGGAAAAAATAATAAAGACTTTTCTAGAAAACTGGAACGCTTATAGAGGGACTGTTTGTTGAATTAGACGGATAATTTATGAGTCTGGGGATTAAAATTAAAATTGATTACCACCAGACCTGAGATTCTAGGCTTAGACAACCTTGAACTACGCCAGCTAAATTGGACTTAAGCATAGTAAATAAAATCATGTTACAAAATCTTACCAGTTAATGAATATTTCAGCTTTAACCACAACACAAGAGCACACAGCAGATATAAACTTCATGTAAACTGCACCAAACTTGATTGCAGGAAATACGATTTCAGCCACAGAGTGCTCAATGTCTGGAACTCACTACCTGATTCTGTTGTCACCTGCTCAACCCCCCGCTCTCCATTACCCTCAAACTAACCTCTATCGACCTCACCCCATTCCTAAGAGGTCTGTAAGGGGCGTGCATAAACGCACCATCGTGCCTACCGTCCCTGTCCTATTGTCCCCAATTATTAGTTCCTATTTCTTGTATTTAAACTTACATTTATTCTTGTTATCTATTATATTGTAAGCATTTGACAAAATAAATAAATAAAATAAATAAATAAATAAAAAGGGTCAAAGAAGAGGGAAGAATAAAAGGATAATAGAAGAAAGGTGGAAGTCATAATCCTCCCTCCCTTTTTTTACTTTTCCTCCTCCCTCCCTCCCTCCCTCCCTCTTTCTCTCTCTCGCTCTCTTTCCTTTCCTTTCCTTTCTCTCTCCTTCTTTCCCCACTTGGCTTACCGTTTTGCAGGTTGCCACCCGACATTTTACTTCTCGGATGTTCCTCATCTTCTCTTCCATTTGTTCTTTTTTCACCAGAGGCTCGAAGTACCGTTCTTGCATCTCAGCTTCAAACTGTGATATGGCAGTGAGAAAGAAAGTTAAACTGGAGATTAAAGTGTTTTTTTTTAATAAAAGTTTTTATTGATTTTAACGACAAACAAAAACACAAAAAACATAAAACATAACATAAAAAACATCATCATTCTTCATATATTTACAGACAGTGTATCGGTTGGTTTACCACTCCTTTTTGTGCATCCATTTCATAGTCATCATAATAATTATGTTACATAATAACTCATATTATCAATCAACAATTATATATCCTAATATCATTATTAAACAATCATTTGACTATAATTTTACTAATTCATACTTAAGCGAGATAACTGTAATTTAGTTACTTTATTTTATAACAAATCATAAAATCATACCAAGTCTATCTTAATAAAATATTCTAAAAGTGTTATCAAGACCAAGAAAAAATGTATATTCGTTATTTCCTAAATTTCTAACTATTCTATTATTATATTGTATTATCTAACCATTGATAAAAAAGATCCCAAACTTCATAAAATTGTTTATCTTCTTGTTCTCTAATTTCAAATGTCAATCTACTCATTTCAGCACCTTCCAATATTTTCTTAATAATTTCTTCCTCTAATGGTATTTTCTCACTCTTCCAATTTTTAGCAAATACAATTCTAGCCGCTGTTAATACATTTACAATCAAATACTTTAAGTTTTTATTATATGTATCAGGTAAGATTCCCAATAAAAAAATCTCTGGCTTCAAATCTATGTTTCTTTGTCATTTTTTCTAACCATATGCGAATTCTAGTCCAGTATTTCCTGGCCTCCTCACAAGTCCACCACATATGGTAATATGAACCAGGAATCTGATGACATTTCCAGCACTTTTCAGATTTGTTCTTGAACATTCTTGCTATCCTTGTCGGGGGAAAATGCCACCTGTCAAACATCTTATACAAATTTTCTTTATATGCTGTTGACATTGTCATTTTATAATTTTGAGACCACAACTTTTGCCATTTCTCTAAGTCAATCCCATATCCAAAATTCTTCCCCCAAGCAATCATTGTTTCTTTAACTTGTTCATCCTCCAATTTAATTTCCAACAAATAATTATATAATTTTTTAATCACTTTTTCATCAGTACCTGTCAAAATCCTATCTAAATCAGTCATTTTATCATAAAATCCTTCCATTTTGGAATCTTTAAGATACCTTGAAAGTATTTGCGCATATGAAAACCAATTCATCTTTATACCTTGTTCTTCTAAATTTTGCATCGTTTTAAGTTCACCCTTTTCATCTAGTAATTCCCCATATCTGTTTGTTCCTTCTTATAAATTATAGGATAAGAAAAGGCTTCAATAGTTGATAACCAAACTGGAATTTTCAAATAACATTGTTTCTTAATTTTCTCCCAATTCAACCATAACGATTCCCGTATATAATGCCTTTTAAAATAACCCTGTGATTTAGTTCCCTTATACCATAGAAAAGCATGCCAACCCAATAGTAAATCATGTCCTTCTAATGCCAACAATCTAGTCTTTCTTAACGTTATCCATTCTTTAGCCCACATTAAATTTGCAGCTTGATAATACAACTCCCAATTAGGAAGACCAAATCCTCCTCTAATTCTAGCATCCTGTAAAAGTTTTAATTTTATTCTCGCTTTCTTACCTTGCCATATATACTTCAACACAATTTTATTTAATTCTTCAAAATAGTCTTTACCTAACCTAATTGGTATTGTTTGAAACAAATATAACATTCTAAGTAAAATATTCATCTTAATTGTTGAAATTCTACCTATCAGTGACAATTGTAAGTTTTCCCATTTTTTCAGATCAGATGCTATCTGCTGCTTAAGTTTAATATAGTTATTCTCTTTCAGTGTAGTACATCTTGACGTCAAATATATCCCCAAATATTTAACTTTATTCATAACTTGAATTTTCAATAGTCAGCTCTTCTCTTTGTCTTAATAACATGTTCTTTGTCAAAATCTTTGTTTTGTCTTTATTTATTTTCAAGCCAGCCATCTCACCATACATCTCTATCTTTTCGAATAATTTTAAAGCTGTCTCAAGAGGATCTTCCAAAATAAAGACCAAGTCGTCTGCAAAGGCTTGCAATTTGAATTTCTCCTTTTTAACTTTCATTCCTTTTATATTTGTATCCTCTCTAATATTTCTATTTAACACTTCCAAAGTCAATACAAATAACAAAGGAGATAATGGACATCCTTGTCTTGTACCTTTTTAAATATTAATAGAGTCTGTAAGTTCTCCATCTATCATTACTTTTGCCGTTTGCTCATAATATATGGCTTCTATTGCTTGAATAAATTTTCTAGCAAAGCCTACCTGTTCCAATAATAATAGCATAAATCTCCAATTCACGTTATCAAATGCCTTTTGGGCATCTAAGAATATCAAAGCCATTTGTTTTTCAGGATGCGCCTCGTAATATTCCAATGTATCCAGAATTATCCTCATATTGTCTTTAATTTGTCTCTTTGGTAAAAATCCATTCTGATCAGGGTGAATAAAATTATTTAAATATTTTTTAAGCCTCTCTGCCAAGATTGAAGCAAAGATTTTGTAATCTGCATTCAATAAGGAAATAGGTCTATAGTTCTTAATTTGTAATGGGTCAACCCCTTCTTTTGGGATAAGTGTAATATAAGCTTCTGACCATGTTTTAGGTATTTTCTTATTTACCATAACTTCATTCATGACTTCTAATAGTGGAATGCTCAACGATTCTTGTAGTGTTCTATAAAATTCTACCGGGAGACCATCTGGTCCTGGTGCTTTTCCATTGTTCTGTCTGTTGAGTGCTTCAGTTAATTCCATCATTGTTATAGCACTTTCTAACATTTCCCCAGTTTCATCAGGTATCTTAGGTAGGTTAGCATTTTGTAAATACTGTTTGATTTTTCCCTCATCAAGATCCAAACTGGAGATTAAAGTTTTAATCTTGCCATGTAAAATAACTGGTATAAATAACATGAGTTATGCTGAAGACAAATTTCCTTTCCTTTCCTGCCCATTTCACTGATGCTATGCAGAGTACAAAAAT